TATGGTTTTCGATTTTTATCCAGTTAGCACTATTAGTCATTGCACATGAAAGTTAGTGGAATCTAACAAACTCTAACAACTTCCCTCACCTACTCTCAGAGATAATTTATGTATCCCTCATTCCTCTGAGCCCAAAGCAGGTAAATGTTTTCAATTAAACTGAAGAGAAGAATAGAAGTTCTCCAGAATAGTAAAAAAACCAAAAAACAAAAAACCCACAAAAAACCCCAAACAAATAAACAAACAACCTCTCCCCCCAAAAAAAGAAAACTCAAAAGCAAAAACAAAACAAAACAAAACAAAACCCGCCAGGAAACTAAAGCATAAAAATGTCATGGGAAGTTATAACTGGATCCATAGGGGATATCATTTCATTGCCTATGAGCAAAATCATCATCTAATGGTTCTCAGAGACATGGGGTACTCGACGTCTGTGAGGGGCCTGTGGAATCCCCCAGAGCATTGTGCTAATTAAATAGGAAAGGGAAGCATATTGGGAAGCCACCAGATGTCAGGCTGAAGTCTGGCAGTAAAGGGAGCTGGCTAAGCTCAAGGAACATACATTTCAGGAGACAGATGTGATCACTGTATGAGGCTTGGGTGAAATTTATCTTCCAGTTCTGTGACTGGACTGGGACTGTGAGGTAACCTGTGGCCAATCAGGATATCCTTGTGACTAATGTTAATCCTTCAGACTCCTGAGATTTCATCCCACTTCTTTGCCTTGGTGTCACAGCTAGAGTCCATGAAGGATAAGCAACCAAGCAGCTTCTGCCTACTTCTGCCTACAGTTCTATTCTGAAGAGAGCTGTTCATTTATTTAGCCAGTATCTACTTTTGGCATTAGTTGCTTTTCAGTGAGGTTGAGGGGCTGGGAAAGAGGGCAGAATTCCAGAAGAGGAATGCATCAAATGGGAACATTCCTCAGGGACCAGGCTCCTCAGGTTCTGATCCTGGGTCTCTCACACATTGGTTGCAGGTCATTTAATTTCTCTATGTTTGTTTGCTTATCTATAAAGAAAGTTGTACCAAATAACACATCCCTTCCAGAGCTAAAATTTGTTCTACTACAGGGTCTAGAATAGCATCCTCCAACTGTTTTGCTCATGTACTTGCTAAAAGAATTTTTTAAAAGGGTATGTACCCCCACATTTTAAAGATGACATGCCATAAATTTAATTAGTTACAAAAGTTGTAGTTTCCAGCATATTGTCTATTGCATAAGGGTTTTAAATACATGTTTTTCAAAACAGTGGATTTAGCTCATTCAGCTTATGGTACATGTCACCACATCACCTACTTAACAAAGCCAGTTCTTATTGTCAGATCATTCAGCCAAATAAGACTTGTTTTCTGTCAGAAAAAGTCTGACTTTATTTTGTAATTTAAAAAATACATTAACATGCACCCTGCTGACAGTCATCTCATTTTGGAACTCTAATTCTAGGATGAATAACTAATTAGATACTTTGAAAACTAGTAAGCCAGCTAGCTAAAGCAGGGATCCTTGCCATGAGTTGGCCAGCCCTTAATTTCTTAACTTGTCCTTAAAGTACTGGTCCTTAAGAGCAATGTAGTCTCCAATTGTCCCTTTGTTTAGTGGCTCCGAGGTCTGTAAACAATGGGAGGAGCCACCGTGTCAGTTTCAGATTGAATGAGAGATACACTTTTCTTTTGGAAAGTGAGAGAAGGGTCATTATGAGATGGGAGGTGGGAAAAGGAGAACTAGTAGCCTGTAGACACATTATTAGGCAAACTAATTTTAGAAACGATGCCTATGGAAGTTGAGAATCAGGAAATGAATCTGCTTAAAATCACTCTGATGTGTATCCCCTGGGGAGTTTTCATGTATCCCGCCAAGGAGTACACAGCCCAGAAGCACAAATAACTGGTAGGGGGCAGGATACTCTTCACTGTCATTTCATGCCAAGCATTTCAATAAGGCCAGAATGGCAAGCACTGTCCTTTGTTAGGGCTGGCAGCTCCCACACATGATGCATACTCCCCTTTGAAATGAATTGGCCATCAAGCAACTTTCTGTGATTGAATTCCCAGGTCTGTCATTAGGGTGTTGCCACTTCATCAGCTAACATTTACCGAGAATCTAACTTGTAGGTGCTTCTGGGAACATAAAATATAACTTATGCAATTATGAAGATTCGTATTTTCCAGAAGTCAGGATGCCTAGAGGCAAATAAGGTACTGATTAAAAGCAATGACTCTGGAATCATTTGTCCTAGGTTGGAATTCGGTCTCTGCAATTTTGCTTGTGTTAATGGGGATAGCCTCTGTTTTCTCATCTGTTAAAATAGAAGAAATGATATCTCTTTATATTATAGTGTTTAATGTTTTCTCCATTTCTCCTTGCTCCTGCTTCCATGTTTCATCTTCTCTGCAATGATTCATCCTTGTAGACCACATCACTAGGGTTCCCTTGCCAGTTAATTGGCTTCCAATATTTGCAAAAAAGAGGTACCAGGGGAGATTGGAGGGTGAGGAGAGAGGTGAGATATCTTTTCTAGGCCCTTTTTGGGCCATGCCTAACACCATGGCTGGATCCCTTCAAAACCACAGACAACTTTTGTTGATGGTCTTGCCTTCATGTTTCAAATCTAACTCTACCCCACAGGCTTCTCATCATTTCTGGTCTCTGACCCCAAACCATGAGAATATATTTACTGTGATGTTTCAAAGTTTTGCTTCAAAGGGACCTCCCTCTTCTTTACTCAGTGAGTTCTGGATGTGAGACCAGGCTTATATTTGGAAACTGGGCAGGGGATACCCAGTTTATATTGGGGTGGCTGCTCTACTTTTCTGATCACCCTGATTGTAACAGTTAAACACTACTCTCATTTGCTGCCCACCTATTTTGCCTCTAGGAACTCTGTCTTCTACCGACCACATCCTTATTCTATCCTCTGCTCTCTGTTATGTTGTCTCTGGCATTTCTACTTCTCTTAGCGTAACCTATTGCTTTGCCTAAGCTTCCAAGGGCCATCCTAGCAGTGTACGAGCATTGTTTCCCAGGGTCTTTGTCAGAGTGTCAAATCTGTATTCTGAGAGAGTGCTTCTGTACTAATAAACTCTACCTCATCCAACTTTACAATTCCCTCCTCTCCCCTTTGTCTAGCACTCTTTCAGGATTCATTTTTGGGGGCATAATCTCCAAGTTCCAGCTAGTCTACATCAACCAGAGCCTGTAGCACCTTTGGTGCTTTCGCTTTTCCTCGAATTGGTCCTTAATCACTCTTAGCCAGTCATTATCTCTTTTAATGAATCAATGGCACTCAATAGCCACCCAATTCCATCCTTATATTTGCCTTTCCCCTCATATATCTCAAAAGCCAGTTAGTGCCCCTCCTTCCACTGGCATCACATCGCAGTGTACAACCAGTGAAAGGTTTAATAATTGCACCACTAGAGCATGCCCGCTGCTATCTATACTCTACCTGCCACTAGTGGTGGGACCTTTTTGTCAGCCAGCTGGCAGGTGATGCAGCTCCAAAATCCAAATTTAGAGTCTTCTTCCTGGAGTAGCTCTTGGCATCAACTCACTTAGATTGGGTTCTTTGGAAAGATATTCTGAGATGAAGAGCTACAGGTAGAAGTAGAAAGTTTATTGGAAAAGTGTTCTTGGGAGATACACTGGTAAGAAAGTCAGGGTGGCAAGATTGGGAAGACCAAGAAGCTGACCTCCATCCAATTCAATTGCAAGTGAGGCTCCAGCTGATCCCAAAGAGCCCTCTAGAGCTGAGATGGTCCTTTAAGTTCTCTCAAATGGAAGCAAGGGGGATACACATTTATATCCCTATAGCAGCTAGCCATTGACTGTGGGATCATTCTCTGCAGAAGGAAGTGTAACCTTGGGCAGGAGTTCTCTGTGGCAGAGCCAGTTCCCAGTGTGGGATGCAGCTGTGAACCCTCAGCAATTGGGAACTGGGTGCGTTCACCCTCAAAAGAGAATCTGGACAGAGTACAACAGCACTATAGCCACATTGCAGTCCAATTCTCAGTCCCATTGAGAATGCAAAAGATGAACAAGAATGTCTTTTAAACACATTTTCTTCTCTTGTATGTCAATTTTCAGTTCGCAGCCTAGATATTTCCAGTGTAGCAACAAAGACATTCCAACAGTGGTTACAGCAATGGTAAAATTGGACACAAATAAAAATGGAAAGTTTTGACGGTTTTAACTGCATTTAGTTAAATATTGTGTTTATGCTCATTATTTGGCATAACTCCTGTTGTTCTTGAGAGTATTTCAGAATATGCTTATTTAATTTTCTTTCTTTGCCATTTTTACTTTATTTGTTCCACCACATTTACTTTTCTGCAGTTAACTGACAATAAAAACGAAGCAGAGGCGCTCAGAAGTCTACCCCAAATGTTCCCCAAGCATGGGTTAGTGACTTCAAATACCATCACTGCCGTATCACATTTTTGTCTCCCTTATATTCCTAATGAGGCTTACCTGCTTTTGGTTCTTAGGAAAAAGTCTGGGTGGAAAATATCAGCTATTCTTGCCCTAGAGAGTCTTGAAGCAAACACTAACATCCACCGTCCAGCCAATGAAACGTCTAAACGATAGGACAGAGAAGCTGTTAAGCTTCACCCCAAATGAAAGTTTGAGTTGAACTAACCTGGACTTGTTCTGCTGACTGGCTGTGCAGTTTTGGTGATATTTTATTAGTTTTTCTTCCCTTCAAAGTTATGCAAAGGTCATGGTCCATCATGAAGTTTTATTTTTAATGTTCTATTTCTTTTTCTTGTTATCAATCACAGAACATTATTGCCTGAAATAGTTTTCCCATTAGATTAGGATGTTAATTGGTTGACAGAAATAATTGCTTAAAATGAAAGAACCTCCTTTTGCTGCTCAAAGTCGAGGAGCCTGATACTGTTTGTGATGCAGGCCATTGGTAAACATTGTTGGCCTGTGACCTGTGACCTCTGACCTGTGATTCCCCATTCACTTCTTTTTTGAAAGGAGCAAGATGCCCTTCCTGCCTGGGGCTTTGCTCTGCTCAGCTACACCACCCTCTGAAACATGTGATCTGCATTCCAAATGGTTCACTGACAGTTTCTCTATTACCCAGCACAGGTAGGTCACAGTCATTGGCATCTATGTGAGTGATGAGTTCTGTTTCATCATAAGTAACCTGAATATTCATGTCCTAGACTATTGGTGACACTGGAACCTTCCTATTCATGAATACAATACTAAGAACATTGCATATATCTATTTAGCTATAGTGAGAAAAGCCCTCAAATCTCACTCTCAATATTATAGTACCCTCCCACCCATCCACCCACAATTTTCAATGTTGGATTACTCTGTAATAGGTAAATAATTAATCTGAATTTATAAACAACATAAATAATTCTCAAAGATTTCACATAGCAACTACAGCATGAGGTTTGAGTCAATCAGTGTTAACAGACACTTAAATTCATCTCCAGAGCATTTGGGGAGATTGAGAAAGAAGAAAAATTCTCCTCATTCTAACATTTTAGTCCCAGGGGAGAATATTTGCAGTCAGAAGCTTTAAAATTGCTGGCAGTGGCTACCACGTGTTTCCTGGGAATGTCCATATTCTCTCTGCACAGGGGTGCCTACTTTTTAAAGAGAGATATATGGAGACTAAGCCACAGTTGCACCCTCCCATTTAACCAGAACTCTCAGAGCCAGAGAATATAGACAGCCCTGGAACATGAGAAGGATTGAGGATAAGCAATATTTCAGAAGCTGTTTAAACATATCATTATCTGGCTTTTCTATTTGAATAATTTGTAAGCAAGCTGCCTCCTCTGTGAACACTTCAGCAGGAAAGGAGAAAGCCGTGTGAGTTATTGCATCTCTACTGCCTGGGACTTGGGGAGACAACATCAATTTTAATGCACTGAAATGCAGAAGTATCTTTGAGGAAATCCCGTTTGGATTGGATCTCTTTGAGGGAATCCCTTATTTGGAATAAGACCACTGGAAAAGTCTGGGCTACTTTAAGGAAAGTGGAGAGATGTTCATTTTATGATACTTAACTTGCGTATATTCCAATGAGTGAATAAAGCAAATGTTGGTCATGGTTTTTAGCTAATGTTTTCCAGCAAGATTTGGGAATGGAAATGTGAACAGGAGCTCAGCATAGTTACTTATTGTTCTGTCCTGCTATGAGCATTGCTTATTTGACACATGATTATGGTGAAGTCTTCAGGCTGAGCCTAAGCTACGCTCATCCTTGGATTCCTACACATTTGGGTGTGTCTTGAGTCCGAAAGGAGCCCTTTGAGATGGTAGCAGGGGTCCTGAGTGTAGCCTGTGTCTATTACTTTTCTCTGGATGGCCATAGGTCCTATGAAGAGGGATTACAAAACAAAAATTAAACGTAAAAGAGTTGTTTTCTAAAAATTTTGTAAGGTATTTAACACATGACAGCACTCTTTAAAGGCTTTGCTGTAGAGTACTGCCAGATCCACCTGGACCTAGCTATGAGGGAGAGTTGGAAAGGATGCCAGTCACACCTTGTGGACACTGACGCTCTTGGTGTCGGCATGAATTGTGCTGTGCCCTTTAGGCAAAGAATTGATGGCTGCCTGGCAACTTTTCCGTGTTATCTCTATGACTATTGGTTCTCAACTAGTGGAAATTTTGCTTGCCAGGGGACATCTGGAAATGCCCAGAGATATTTTTAGTTATCACAACTTGAAGGGGTGTCTGTGATTGGGGAGAGTTTTGCCCAATGAAGGGATGTGTTTGCTCAGGGTGCTTGGGCCTACTTACAGCATGGCAAATAGATTTTATGAACAAAGACCCAAACATGGCATTTTTATGACAAGCCTTGGAAGTCACATTGATTCACTTCTGCCACAGTCTGTTGGACAAAGAAGTCACAAGGGTCCAACTACTTTTAAAGAAAGAGGACATAGCTACTGCAGGTTCATGGGAGGGATATCAAGATTGCATTGTAAGAAAAACAAGCATGTTGGGAAATATTGCTGTGGCCATCTTTGGAAATTACAGTCTACTGTAAGTAAAATAAGAATCAATCAATATAAATGTAGGCTTGAAACACTTCTCTTTTTTGAACCAAAGATAAAACTGTAAAGAAATATAGAGATACATGGAAGGATGATGTTAAATCAATACAAAATGGTCAGTGAGTTAAAAGTTACAAGTTCTAGGAGACATGACTGGTGAATACAATAATAGTTTATTAATTTTAATGTTCGCTTCAAAATTTTTGATTCTTCGGAAAATTGCTTTGGTCTCCCCACATATATAGGTCCATATATATAGCTGCCATTGGTGCCATAAGTCCAGAGCAGTTTTGCAAAATTGGTTTTGTTTCTAGAAAGATGCTATTTTTCTTTGCCTGTTTTTAAGCTGCTGCCCAATAGAACATTTTTTTTTTCCTGGCTGAGAAAAAAACTGGATATGATCAATATAAGAAAACTGGACAAGACACTGTGGTATTAGTTGGTAATCAGACAAACTTCTTGCTGTGGAGCACACCTTGCTTTGATGTCATTTGTCTCCATTATTGGAATGAAAACTTCTCAACATATGACTCTTGAGCAAACAAAATGAAGAACCCTGAAAAGATGCATGTAGCACATATGCTTGAAAAATCAGGCAGAAAGCAACATTAGCAGAAAAATGTTCCTTCTATTTCACCTGAGATAAGTAGCCTATGAAATCTTGTAATCATTGAAATCATGTATTTTTTTCTTTTTCTTTTTTTTTTTTTTTTTCTGATACAGGGTCTGGCTCTGTTGCCCTGGCTGGAGGGCAGTGGTGCAGTCACAGCTCACCGTAGCCTCAATCTCCTGGGCTCAGGTGATACTCCTGCCTCAGCCTCCTGAGTAGCTGGGACTACAGGCATGCATCACCATGCCAAGCTAATTTTTTCATTTTTTTTTTGTAGAGATGGAGTTTCACCATGTTGTCCAGGCTGGTCTTGAACTCCTGGACTCAAGTGATCCGATTGCCTCAGCCTCCCAAAGTGCTGGGATTCCAGGCATAAGCCACCACGCCCAGCCTGAAATTATAATTTTCAATAGAACTATTGGCTATTGTTAGATTTGAATTTAACAGATTGAGTCAGGTAAACTCATTGGTGCTTATTTTGCAGACTGTACTATTGGTCTCAGCATTGAACTTTTAGAGATTTCTTAAATGATGTTATGGGATTATCTTGCACATTGACATTATAATAAATTCCTTCAAGGGCAGCCCTTGACTGAAGTAATTTTAATAATTACATTGACCTGAAAAAATATCCTTGCAAGAGACACAGTGCCCATATATCACAGAAATACAAGTATTGATCATCATGTGAAGGGAGGACTGTGCCAGTGTTGGCTGCTGAAGGTGGGAAGATCTACAGACTCTTTTTGTTAGAAACTGTTGCAGATTAGGTTCCCCAGGAAACAGACTCTGAAACAGAGTTTGTGTGCAGGTTTATTGGAGGAGTGCTCTTGGGATCAATACTCTGGAAGAATAAAGAAAGTAGAATTGGGCAGAGGGAGAAGTTGAACTTTGATATAGTTGCAACAAAGGCCTCAGCTTATCCCACAGGCACAGTTGGGCTAGCCCTAGAATGAACCAAATAGAGGTTAAGGGGTCAGTACCTTATACATTGATGTTGACCATCATTGGACGTGGGCTGACGCAGAGGAAGGGTTGGAACTTTGGGTAAAATGACTCTCTTTTGACACTGGCAGTTCTTGGAATGAGGCTCAGCTGAGAATTCTCGGCAATCAATGTTTGCAGCAGCTAGGGGAATAATTGTCTCAGTTCTGAAGAGGGCACTCCTTAGCATCTACTGCAAAGGCTTATTTGAACTACTGAGAAATACAGCACAATTAATATAAACCTAGGTTCTCAAATGTAGATTATGATAAAAACCTTATTTTGAAGGAATACATTTTCATTCAAAACCCATCAGCATCAAGCCCAAGATCTCTCATACCCATTAATATCATCAGGTGATACTGATTAATTCCATGGCAATGAAATGTTAGATTTGTGCCATTTCTAGAAGTTCTTGTGTAAGATGCTTCAACTCCTGCAGATTGACAATAGTTCTCATACATAGTGTGAGATGAATGCATCTCCAAGATGGAGATGTATGCATTCGGGATGAATTTGTTAATAATCATAAAGACAGTTTAAAACATCAAATATGTTTGTTTTTAAGGTCCTTTGTCCTGCTGCTGAAGGTCAAATTGGTTAGCCTGGGGTTAAAGCTAAAAGGCTGTGTTGTAAATGTACTGTTCTACCTCTGTATGGAAAAATTTCAACTTGCCATCTCAAGAGAGCCATCACAGATGTCTCCTAAGAAAGAACTGGTTCACATTTTGGCTTTAACACCATCAGAACGATCTGATTATAGATTCTCATCCATAAGGAGACAGTATATAGTGGTTAAAAGCATAGACTGCTCAATTCAGGGCACAGTTCTGTCATATTTTTTTCCTTAGTGCCTTTGGGAAAGTCAAACTCTGTGTTTCTCAGTTTTCTCATCTCTAAAAATGGGTATAATAATATTATTATAATTATAGTACCTCCCTCATTGCATTTTAAAGATTAAATGATAAACATATGTGCATGACAGAGGACGTGATTTGCAGGTGTTTGCTATTATACTGCTCAGTGTTTTGTTTTGTTTTGTTTTGTTTTTTTAATAAGAAGGAGCCAGCTTTTTCTGTGTTAAACTACTGTTCCATTTGCCAATGCTGGAGGTGCATCTTTTGCTATAAAAAAAAAATAAAAAGAATAATGTTGATTGCAACAAAAGAAAGTAGTTTTGAATAATCTTGGAGTTGACATTTGAAGATTTTCCTTAGCCCTGTCCGTATGGATCAGGAAAAGACATAAAAGAAAAAAACCCTTAGTTTAGATCTTTGCTGAAAGAGGGCGAGATTGGGAATTTACTTTTGTGAAAAACCTATGTGTCTCACATCTTTGATATATTATCTCAGTTAAGCATCAGAACTGTCCTATGAGGTTGGTACTGTAATTTTCTCCTTTCTACAGACGGAAAAAAAAAAAAAAAAAAAGACAAGAGGTTATGAGTAGAAACCAAAGCAGAGTTTGGGATG